AAAATATTCCCATTATATACCAGGGGCCCCGAACCCTTTGCAGTGCCAGTTAATGTGGGGTCCTGTTGTCCTGGAGGGTTTCATTATGCTGGACTCCTGTTTAATGTATGCTTGGGACTCTGCGCTTCTCAGAGATGGCAGGATTGATTGATTGTGTCCAGAGGCCAATATATTTTCCTAGAATTAAGTCTTTCTCTGATTCTTAAAAGATATAAATCTCAAGGCCTGCATATCTTTACCTTCACCAACCCCACATCTGACAGAAGGCTGATCTCCAGAATATATAAAGAACTCAAGAAACTAGACATCAAAATACTGAACAATCCAATTAAAAAATGGGCTAAAGAGCTAAACAGAGAATTCTCAAAAGAAGAATCTCAAATGGCTGAAAGACATTTAAGGAAATGCTCAACATCCTTAGTCATCAGAGAAATGCAAATCAAAACGACTCTGAGATACCACCTTAGACCTGTCAGAATGGCTATGAGCCGGGCGGTGGTGTCGAACGCCTTTATCCCAGCACTCGGGAGGCAGAGACAGACAGATCTCTGTGAGTTCCAGGCCAGCCTGGGCTACCGAGTGAGTTCCAGGAAAGGCGCAAAGCTACACAGAGAAACCCTGTCTCGAAAAACCAAAAAAACAAACAACAACAACAACAAAAAACACTAATGACAGTCTATGTTGGAGAGGATGCGAAGCAAAGGGAACATCCCTCCACTGTAGGTGAGAGTTCAAACTTGTACAACCACTGTGGAAATCAGTATGGCGGTTTCTCAGAAAATTGGGAATCGATCCACCTCAAGACCCAGCCATACCACTCTTGGGCAGATACCCAAGGAATGCTCAATAATACCACAAAGATACATGCTCAACTATGTTCATAGGAGCATTATTCATAATAGCCAGAACCTGGAAACAACCTAGATGCCCGTCAACTGAAGAATGGATTAAGAAAATGTGATACATATACACAATGGAGTACTACTCAGCAGAGAAAAACACTGACAGCATGAAATTTGCAGGCAAATGGATGGATCTAGAAAATACCATCCTGAGTGAGGTAACCCAGACCCAGAAGGACAAACATGATATGTACTCACACTTAAGTGGATACTAGATATAAAGCAAAGAACAATCAAACTGCAACCCACAGATCCAGGGAGGCTACCTAGCAGGGGGGACCCTAGGTTGGCTGTGGCTTATAAGTTTTGGTTTTACTCAATCACTGGGCAAGCCTCAATGAAACATTTCACTATTAGGATAAGAATTTGTACTGTATCAAGCTGATGATAGAAAAAAAAATTAAATAAAATAATAAAACAAAACAAAACAAAAAGCATGGTCTCCTAAAGAACCCTGAACTGTAGATAAGTTGTCAACCGAGAAAAACACTCAGTGCTTCAACATTTCCCGAGCTCCCACTTGAGTTCACAAGCTGAGTGCTGCAGTGGGAAGGTGCAGACTGAGAACAAACCCAGCTGTCTGACAGACTGCACGCCCCGACTCCACATGCACACGCAGGTCCATCATGGTTCAGAAAGAGCCCAGCTGTGCAACCTTGAGTACACAACTTTTTTCTGAGACAATCTGATCTCCAAGCTGTGATCCTCCTGCCTCGGCTTCCTGAATACTAGGATTACAGAAGTGTTTCTCCTGAGTGGTAGATAACTTACAAAAAACAACTGAACAGTGCACCTCAAGGTCTTCAAAAACAAGAACAAGCGGAATGTCAAACCAGAAGATAGAAAGTAATAAAACAGAGACTAGAGAGATTAAAAAAAAAAATGAAACAGTTCTTTTAAAATAATTTCAAGATTATATGCATGAGTGTTTTACCTGAATGTATGTATGTGTACCACGTGTGTGCCTGGTACCCACAAAGGTCAAAAGAGGGTACCGGATTCCCTGGAACTGGAGTTAAGGGTGATTGTGAGCCACCGTGTGGTACTGGGAATTGAACCCTTGCCCTCTACAAGAGAGCAACAAACGCTCTTAACTACTGAGCCATCTCCCCTGCCCCTAGAGTTAGTTCTTTGAAAAGACAAACAAGATTGACAACTGATAGCCAAACTCGTCATAAGAAAAAGGAGGCCAATATTAGGGAAGTTAGAGCAAGGAATGGCGGCGCACCCCTTTAATCCCAGCACTCTAGAGGCAGAGGCAGGATGATTTCTCTAAGTTCAAGGCCATCCTGGTCTACAGAGTGACTTCCAGATCAATTGTCTCAGAGAGAGAGAGATGAAATGCATGGGGGGCGTGGGCATGGTGTTGTTCCAACAGATACTAATGGCACCCAGGATCATTTGGGAATATTTTGAAAACCTGTGTTCCAAAAAGATGGAAAATCTAGAAGAAATAGGTAAATTCCTGGGAACATATGACTCACCAAACTTAAGAGTTAGAGAAACTCTTTTAATCTTGATTTTTCTCATGGGGCATGAAGAATGAAATGTCCCCTAAGCCTCTTGGCACAGTTAGCTAAATTAGGTAAAGCTGCAAACAGCACATTAAAAACAGCAGCTCCACACCTAACCAGAGGGCTGGGGGTGGGGGGAGCACCTTTAGCCTGAGTTTCTACCCTAGTCTCATTTGCTTGCTAAGACTGGGCAATCCTGGCCAGGCAGGAGGGTGACAAATTTGAGACCAACTAGGCTACATAGCAAGATCCTGTCTCAAAAAACAAGAAAGGAAGTTAGAAAGAAGGAAAGAAAAAGGAAGGAAGAAAGAAGAGAATGCTTAGGTATTCCTGACCTACTTGGTCCTCGGCCCTGCCCTGTTTGTTTTCCCCCAGAACTCTCAAGGTGCATTAAGACTCCCATCAACTGGACAGAGAACACAATGGAAACAGAAAAGCTTTGCCCATGCCTGACCTGGCGTCATGTGGGCTGTTTGAAAAGAAGAAGATACTGAAGTATCTCATTGCTTGCCTCTTACAGTTTTTCTACCCAACATTCACTGTTAGCTGAAGGCTGTCCAGATGTCCTGCATGTCCATTTCTTCCATCACAGAACATTTTCCAGGATCCCCTGGGCTCCCTCAGCTCTTCCCTTTGAAAAATGTCTCGTGAGTGGTTCTACCCATGCTGTGGCTCACAAGCTCATCACTGGCCTTTACTCCAAGGCCAGAGCTGCCACCGACCTGATTCAGGAGAGCAAGAATGAATTTGCTAAAAGGCCGTCAGTCAGGAGGACCAGAGAGCCAGGCCTGAACAGTGCACTTCAAGGCAAAGTTTCCAGAACAGTACTTCAGGCCCTGCTTGTGCCACAGAGCATCATCAGCTGCTGCTGTCCTGTGCTGCCAGGAGTCTGACTCCAGGAAGGCCCTGAAGCCACAGTAACCGCTGGAAGCGAGTCAGGTGCCTTAGCCACCTGCTTCCCTGGAAAAGCGCATGCCTGTGCATGCTGCTTCCTTGTGCTTATCCCTGCAACTCAAGGTCCTGCTGTGCTCCAGGGAACACAATACCAAAGGCTCTTGGTGCAAGTTTTGTTTGGTTGGTTTTTTGTGTGCTTGTTTTTATCTAAGAAGAGCGGGACTCCTAAAGTCCTAAACTTGAGCACCAGCAAGGGACCAGAGGTGATTCAACGCTAGAGCAAATGCCTAGCATTCACCAGGCTGCAGGTTTGATCCTCAGTAAGACAAAAAATAGTCTTACAGACTATATAGAGAAGAAAAGCTGGGCAGGTAAGACAACACGAGATGATGATGGTGAGGTCTGTGAAGGATGTCCTTTAGGGCATTCAGGTCAAATATTTTAAGTCATTAAGCGAATGGTGAAAAGTGAGGAAAGCTTGTGGGTTGACTGGAGAAGGGTGCTAGGACTGGAAAGGTCTGTATCTTGCTTTGCGTGATGGTTACCCAGTGTATGCATTCATCCAATGAGCCCTTGAGATACGGTATACTAACTCTACCGCAATGTTGCTTGCTCAGGGCAAATTAATCAAGTCTGAGCAAGCTGATTTGGCTCTCAGACTAGCCATTTATTTGCAAGCTCTGATGCAATTTCACTTCATTTTACACAGAGGAATCGGAGATCCTGAGGGAGGAAAGTGGTTTCACTAAGGTGAATGATGACTACCTCTGAGGGCCGGTGGGTTCTCAACCTGGAAAAGACTAGAAGAAGGAGAGGGAGGGGAGCGGCTCCGGTATGCAGACAAACCCTTTTCTTCACCTTTGGAGTACTTTTCCACCTGCAGAGAAAGAGGCCAAAGGCAGTCAGTCCCCAGGCCTGGCCAGAAAGAGACAGGGCCAACAAATGCCACACTGAGAACGGAAGTGGGCAGAGCGCGTAGCCCTAGGGACCACAGGAGGCGCACAGATAAATCACGAACACAAACTGCATTGACAGTTTGAGATTGACACTGAGTGCCAAATGCCGACACAGACTGCCAAGTACCAGGAAAAGAAATTCGATCTGATCCAGGCAGACGGGGCAGCGCAAAGTGAAACCTACCTGCGAGAACAGAGAAGGGCCCTGAACCTTGCTGGAATCTTTTTTCGAAGCGGTTCCTTGGGCACTTACCTAAGTCTTAGCTGGCCACCGGCCTGCCCCAAGAGGTAGGAGCGTCTCTGCTTTTCAGGTGAGAAAAACAAGGTCCAGCGGCTTGCAGAGCCATTTAAAGCCTGGAGTTGGAATCACAAGTCCAGTTCCCTAACACCACGCCCACGCCCAGAGGCAAGCAGGTGTCTGCAGAGTGACTCCTGCCCATCACCAAGCACACCTAACCAGCGTTTTGATTTGGGCGCCACGGACCTTGAGGAGCTGGGGGATGCACTGGGCGCCTGGGTGGGGGTGGGGAGGTGCAGTGGCCAAATTCCCGGCCGAGCGACGACAGGCCGGGACCCTGCGGATTCACTGAGCTGGGTTGTGCAGCGGGCGCCAGCCCTGATTGGCGCTCGCAGCTGGCCTGCGGCCGGCTCACCTGCCACTCCCAGCCAATCCAGGCCACCAGAATTGAGGCTGCCCGCGCGGGAGGGGGTGGGGGGAGTGGATGCTGCGAGCCTGCCGGCCGAGCTGCCTTCCCAGCGGAGTTCCCTCCCGGCCGGCGGCGCTCCCGAGCTTCGTCCCAGCCTCTGGCTGCAATTCCCGCGCCCCTTGGCGTCCCGCTCCGCTCGCTGGGACGCGCCCCGACGGCGTCCGGAGCTGCCTTCGCTGATCGTGCCCACGGCTGCCCGCCGTCCTCCCTGTCCCTTCCAGTCCCACGAAGGGGGTGGGCCCGGCCCGGGCAGCGCCTCCGAGACAGGATGTTCACGTCCAAGTCCAACTCCGTGTCGCCATCGCCGTCCCTGGAGCAGGCTGACGCGGACGCGCTGGACATCAGCACCAAAGTGCAGCTCTATGGGGTTCTGTGGAAGCGGCCGTTCGGGAGATCGTCCGCCAAGTGGTCCAGGCGGTGAGTGAGTCCCCGCGTCCGGGGAGACCTCCCCTCCCCACCTTGGGAGGGAGCCCCGGGCCTCAGGACCCCTCCCACTCCACCAGTCACCGCCCTGCCTCAGCCTTCCTCTATGACCTTGGCCCACCCCGGCAGTTTCTGTCTGTGCTGTCCCCAAAATGCGACTTTAATTGGCCGCTGGAGCTAGAATGGAATCACGGGCCTATAGTTGCCGGGAATTCTCTGAGGAATGAGAACTGAGTCCCAGGTCCCAAGTGGCGCGGCTGCATATGGGCTAGAGAGACTGAGGTTAAGTTGGGCCAGACTGAGCAGGAGCCGCCCCCTTCCCCCCTTGCCCCCTAACCCTCCCCCTACCCACCCCCGTCTCCCACCGGAGAGTCTGCAGAGACCTCCACAGCCAATTCCATCCCTTTGTTGAGGCTTAAAGTGGGCTGGGAGATGGGCGCCACTCTATCCAGCAGATCATGGGCCATTCTGAAAGACTCAGGAGAGAGAACCACAAACCTTATGTAAGAAATTGTGTTGGCAACCCCTCCAACTGTGCCTTCACACACACACACACACACACACACACACACACACACACACACACACACACACACACATACACACACACACACACACACACACACACACACACACACACACACACACACACACACACACCCCTGAAGTTGGAGTGGGAGAGAGGGTAGATTGGTCCTGTCCAAAGGATTGATGTTTGGAGAGGTGTTGGGGAGAGCCAGAGCAACACTGGCCCCGTTCTCAGCACCAAACTCCAGTTGAAGGCTCCGGATAAACTTGGCTTTCTGTGTACAAACGGTCCTGACAGGTATCGGGAGAGGGGGAGCTGCAAGTGCAATGGACCAGTTTCTACACCGCTTTCCTCCTCAAGCCCACTAGGATTTACTGCTGGTGTATAGAAAACTCAGACTGCATCCTGGCCCTTCCCTGGAGGGTATGGCCGTTCTTGGAACCACAGCCCCTTCTCCACCCCATACCACGAGTCTGAGTGCCTCGGATGTTTTCAGGACCGCAGATCACGTGCGTGTGGTAGCGGTTAGTTTTGATGTTCGATTTTGATGAATAATTTAATATTCCTGTAAGACCTCAGGACAAATGGAGGTGTGGATGGGATTTTGCGTTTTGCAGAGATGGTTTCATACACTTTTATTATTTCTGGCTGATTTCTCTTGGGGATTTAATGGGAGGCAGGCCCCCTTGAGTCCCTCACAAGTTGAGTTTCTCTCCGATACTTTAAGTGAAGGCTTGGAGGAGTTTGAAGGTTATATGAGAGGAGGCTGGCAGGGTTGCTGTCTGAACTGCAGCCACTGAGGGCTGGGAGCGTCCAATCTCTGCCACAGCACTTGGATGAGTATGGGGAGTCCGGGAAGGAGTCAGGGAGGCGCTATGGTGGACTTGCTGTGCCAGGGCCAGTGTGCAGAATGTCTTGAGCTACCTCAGGCAGCCTTCTCTCTCCAGCGGGGCTGACTTTTTGTCCTCATTTAAGACTTTTTCTGCTAGGCATCTTGACCTGATTGCATCCATTACGTGGTAGGTGCCTTGGACCCCTCGGCTGAGTCTCCTGGCTCCCCTGGCTCCTATAGGTACAGGGGGACCTGGCTACTGCATATGCAGTTGATTTGGGGCTGACAAGTACCCGGAGGAAAATCTCTTAGCTAAAAGCATGATTGTAGTGGCCAGGACGCTTGGGGGTGGGGCCCTGGGAATCTCTGTCAGTCGTCCCCACAGCCACCCAAAACAAACCAGTCTAAGTCAAAACAATAAGTCCCAGTGCCAAGTCAAGTTCTCTACCCTTTGGAAGAGACTGTCACCTCTCACACCTTCCTTGCTCAGGAGTTGTCGCAATGCAAAGATTCTCCCTCCTCTGACCTGCCAGCTCTAGACCTTTGTTCATGTTCCCACCTCTGGGAGAATAGCGTCCCATCCTCCACCCCATACACACTCGATTTTCCTTTGAGTCAGCAACAGTCAGAAAGAGTATAGAAGCAAGCCTGATGCCCAGCCCAGCCTTCTCTGGCTTCCCAGTAGGGCCTCTGGGCTCCAGTTTCCCATTTGTGAAGTGCAGTCTCTGGACCTCAGCTAATTAGTGGCCACAGGAAGGCTTGGGACAGGGCAGCCAACACCCACCACTGCAGAGACTTACCATTAGGGAAATCGATGCTCTGGTGGGCAGCTGAGGGAAGAGGCCCAGAAAGGCTCCACGCTGCATTGTCGTAACCAGCCATTGGGCAGGACGGAACTGGCTGTGGCTGGCTGAGTTCTATAAGACCTCTCCTCCTCAGAGTCTGTCTTGGGGGAGCCTCCAGTACCCCCACCTTGCCCACACAGCAGTGGGACGATGCCCTCCTGTTAGTTTACTTTCCTGTGGGCAAAGGAAGGGATCCAAGTGTTCATTAACACAGAAAGGAGAATTTCCAGAAGGGTCTAGAGGGCAAATTGGCCACAGTCCTCTCCTTCTTCTGGGAGTAGCATAAACTCAAATGCAAAGACCTGTGTGCTCTGAGCAGGAGGAGGAAGATGGTCTTGGCTTCAGTCAGGGTCAGCAAGGGATACCTGGGATGCCTTTCTGAGACCACCATGGTGCCTTCAGGACTCAGCTCACCCTGTCCTAGCTGGGAAACCACACCTTGGGTAGCCTCTTGAGGGCGAGATAACTTTGGCTCCAAGATCAAAATCCCACAGAAGTCTAAATCCTGCATCTTGTCTCCGTTAATCCCCAGGAGGTGTTGAACTCAGATGTCCCGCTGTCAGGAACTCTGGTTCCTCAGCCTCCCCACCCCCAACCCAGCCATCTCCACTGCCACACACCTCTAATCTCTCACACATGGTCTTTGTGGGCAGAGCAAACCATACTGAAAGCATGGCAACATGGAGGCTGAGGGACATGACTTTCCCTCAGTGATGGGAGAGTGCTTTCAGATGGGCTTTTTCCTCTGTTTTCTGAAGCCTATTTTATTTGACACTTTATTTTTCAGTTTTTGTGTGTTGATTTTAGGTTTAGTTTATTTTTTTAAATTTACATCTATATGTGCATGCCTGCTTGTATGTATGTATACCATATGTGTGCAATGCCACTCTTTTGGTCCAGACTCAGGCATACTACTGAGACCCTCTCTCCTCTGCGCTTACCCATCACACCTCCTCCTTTCTGCCCTGCAGGATGTTCCCAACTTCCAATCTCTCTCCCCCAGGTCTATACCCCCAAACACTGGAGCATTGAAGAGCTCAGTAGAGCAGGCTGGCTACTGCTGCTGGTTCTGTTTCTTCTTCTTCTTCTTCTTCTTCTTCTTCTTCTTCTTCTTCTTCTTCTTCTTGAGATTTTACTTATTTATATCATATATATATGTATATGTGTGTGTGTGTTCCGCCTGCATGTATATCTGTACATCTTGTGTATACAGTGCTCACAGAGGCCACAGGGAATTGGATCCTCTGGAACTGGAGTTACATATGGTTGTGAGCTGACATGTAGGTGCTGGGAACTGAACCCAGGTCCTCTGGAAAAGTAACCAGTACCCTTAACCACTGGGCCATCTCTCCAGCACTGGGCTGGTCCTTCTTTAACAAGGCCTGTCTGATATACACTGCATCTTTGCTCTGAACATTTTTTCTCTGCCTCCACTGGATCTCTCAGGAGACCAGTGTCAACCACGGAGCTCTGACTGGACCGTTATTATACTCAGAGCACAGGGTAAAGGGAAAAGAAGCCACGCTATGAAAATCCTTCACTTTAGATGACATCTGTGTGTCCATCCTGTCACTCAAGCTAAAATCCTGGCCATGGTGTCTTTGGACTTAGGTCACCCTGCTCCTGTCTAACTATTCAGCATACTCTGCTGATTTTTACCTTCTAATAACTCTGGTTCACCCCTTTGCCCAGATGTGACCTCCTCAGGGCCTCCTCTCTTAATTCTAAAACCACAAATTGACCTCCCAGGACTTGTTTGATATCTGTGCAAGGTGTATGTATGTGTGTTGGGGGGGAGCTGCCTGCTCTCAGCCCCTGTTTACAGACCCACCCTCTCTCCTTCCCCTCCCCCTATGCCCTGGCCACCCCTTTAGCACTTATCTGCACATAACACCAGACATATTTTGATAACCTTGAGCACACTGTTCTCTACATAGGCCCCTCTCTGTCTAGAGAACATTCATTCATCCCCTTGGTGGCCACGCTTCTGGTTTTCACACAAACTTCCCTTGTTGCTCTAGGTCCTGGTGCTTTGTAGAGGCTGTGTATTCTCCAGAGCACTCTGCTGTGTTATAATGTCACAGTAATGGATCCTAGTGCTTCACGGGGTGATAGCATCCCCCTGGTACTTTCTACGTTGCTGTGTATCCCCATGGCCTGACGGTGTCACCCCATAGCCAAGTGCTTTATATTTTTAGCTCCCCCATTTACCCATTGTGTGATCTGGGACTTATTACTTGATTTCTCTGCAGACCAGTTTCACCACCTACCTTGAACAAGCAGTGAATGAATTACTACATGAACTGTTGGTGCTCAAACAGGGTCTGGTACAAAGACGGAATTGATAAACATGAGCTATTTTAAAATTCCTTCTTTCCACATGCTCTCTCCTGCATTCAACGCTCGAGCTCCTTGGGGACAGGGACTCACCAAGCTGTCAGGGCCCAGCACAGTACCTGCTTGGCTAAGTAACTGGTTCTGTAACAGGCCTCTGGCCTGAGCCAAGTGGGCACTGCAGCCGAACTACAGGGGTCAGCTCAAGGGAGTCAGACAGCTGGTGATAGCGGTGAGGAGGACCGGCATCACAGAGCACAGGCAGCTGAGAACTTGAGCTCTGTGAACAGAGCGCCGAGTTTACCACTCACCCGTTGCCTCCTCTCACTGTGGTCCAGTTTTCTTACCAATGTACTGGAAGACCAAAAACCCTGCCCATCACTTGGAGACATTTAAATAAGATAATATCAATGAAGTATGTGTAACAAAGGGCATACCTTCCTGACTTCTAAGTTCTTCCATCTGGAGGTGAAATAGCAGAGGGGGGGGGTCCTGAGGATATGGCTGACTCGGGTGGATCGCTTGTCTAGCATGCATGAAGGTCTGGGTTCAGTTCCCAGCTCTCCATAAACCAGGCATGGTGGCTCATGTCTATAATCACAGCATTCAGGAGGTGGAGGCAGAAAGGTCAGAGGTTCAAGGTCAGCATCAGCTATATGGTGAGTTTGAGACCAGCCTGACCACCTGAGTCTCTATAATAATCAATTAATTAATATTAATATTAATAGTAGACCAGAGAGAGAAGGCAGCCAGGACTAACATGAAACCGTTACCATACACAGACTCCAGGCTTTCTGAAAACCCAGGATGGCTAAAAGCAAACGCTGATGGTAAAGCTTCTCCAAGGACAGATGTTGGCCCTGGAGATGGGGGAAACTTCAGACAGGAGGAGGACAGGGCTGTGGCCTGTGATTGGAAAGCAGGAAGCCAGCCAGTTGGGCTGCAGCCATGTCCTCTTCAGTGACTGTTGTGTGAGCGCAAATGGGAAGAGGGGCGGGGTGCCTGCAAAGCCACTGAACTTAACGATAAGGAACAGCAGCAATCAGAATAACAACGAGCACGGCCTGTGTGTTTACTACGAACCAAGTCTTCATGTGATCAGACTCGTTTCCCTCCCAGCCATGAGAAATACCCTTTAATGGTCACCCACGCGGGACCTGAGGCCCAGGAAGACTAGATGTCTCTCCCCATCACTGCTGGTGACTGGCAGAGCCCCCACCTTGGCCATTGCAACGCGGCTTCCCACATCTCTATCCTAGGTGTGTCCTGAGCCAGGACAACAGCTCCATGAGCCATATAGGGAGCAGGAGGCAGGCCTGGTGGTCCTGAGTTCCAATCCTTCTTCTGCAGTTGTAAGGCTTTGTATGTGACGTCATATCTAAGCCCTTCTTCCCTCACCTGTGACCTGGGAGTGAAAGGCCCCGCCTCCAGCACTGGTCTGAGAGGCAGGTTCTCTGATCTTCACATAATATGCCTCACAGAAGCTAACACGTAGAAATTGTGACTGTGACCAGCTCTTACACTGGCTGCCCAGCTCTGTAGGGCCCAAGGGAGGTTGGCCCAGCCTTGGATACTGAAGGGAGAGTGTCTAGAACAGGGCGACTTTGAGGGAAGGTGTGGAAAGAGGAATGCCTCTCTACACAGTCTTACATAGACTTGCAAGGGCCCCAGCTGCTGAGGAGAAGCTAAAAGACATCCGCCAGAGTGGCCACCACCAAGGCAGTTGGATAAGCAAAGATCTTTTGGATCTTGTCAAATGAGCCACGGTGGGTAGGAGCTTACCCTCTGCCTCCAGGTCTGTGCCAGGTATGGCTTATGTGGCAGTCATGGTGACTCTCAGCCTGCTGAAATGTGACCACCATGGAGCAAAGGCCGCCTGGAGCATCTGCTCTGCCTTTCTGTGCTTGCTTTGGAAGGGGAGTGACATCTGGGGACACCCTGTATATTGGGAAGATGCTGGGAACTCTACATGCCTCTATCCACTCTACATACCTCTCGCCTCCAGTGATGTGTGGCAATAGCTTGTTAGCACATTCTCTCCTATGCCAGGACCATCTGTTTCTCATACAGCAACCAGGGCTAGCCTTTTACAATGTAAGTCAGGCCATGTGACTCAAAGAGGGCTCAAAGCCCTCCCATGGCCATTATACTCAGAGAGAAAGCCAATCTCTACCAGATAGTTTCAGCTCCTCACACCACCTGACATGCTAGGGTTAGAGGGATTAGAAGCATGTGCCCACGAGTGAGCCTCATGTGGCCAGGGCTGGCTTTGAACTCACTACGTAGCTGAGGATGACTTTGAATGCCTTGTTGTCTTGTTTCTACTTCCTGGATGTTTGGGGTTATAGGTGTGTACTACCATGCTAGTGTATGTGGTACTAGAGATTGCTTGGTGTATGCTAGGCAAACACTCTTCCATTAACTACACCTCCAGCCCCAGTTCCTCTTTTGTGAAGCTCCTCTAGGTCATGGTCCTGCCTCCTTATTAGCTCACTGAACCATAGTTACCTCCTAAAAATCCTGTTTCCAGATACAGTCCCTCTGCGGGTAGGGATTCAACATATGAAGGGGTGCATGAGGCACTATTGTGTGTGGGGGAGGGGCAGCACTCTTCTGCCTGCCTGCATTTCCAGCAGAGGGTCCTCACAGGCCATGCATCATTGAGACGGGGGAGATTGCTCAAGTCTATGAGTTCAAGACCAGCCTAGGCAACTTAGCAAAGACCTCCATCTCAAAATGTGTGTGTGGGGGGGAGAGGGTGGGATAAAATCATGAGCTCACACCAAAGTACAAAGTTGAGCTTCAGTTCCCTTGGGAGAAGGACTGCTGCAGCCATTCAGGCTGCTCCTCCACTCTGCCCCAAAGCCTCTGTGCTCACAGGGAAGATCACGTGGGCGATGGAACCTGCAGGGGTCCTCTGACTTCTTGACAGCTCCTCACCAGAAGTGAATGGTTTAATAACAGGCTCTTGGGGTGGTTGTGCTGTATTTGATTTTCACGGTACAAACGCTCCTGCTGTGGCCTCTGTTGTCACCACTGTCCTGTCACTGAATGCTGAGCAGGTAAGAGAGTCAGTCACACTGTTGGCCATTGTGAGTCTATCCTAGCAGGTTCCAATAAGTCGCTGCTCTGAACTTTCCCCTGCTAGGATAGACTCAAATCCCATTTGATTACCCTGAAACACCCGTCCAGAATCATGTGGCTCATCCTCCATCCACACCTGGAGAGGCGCTCCCACACGTCTGGAGTCCTGGATAGTTCACAGGGTAAAGGGACCCGAGTAGGACAACAGGTTTCTACTGTGCTGAGGAGGCCAGTCCTGGACGCGAGTCACGGGCACCCCTCCTTCACTGCCTGTACAGGAGGCCATCTGAGGCCACTCTGTGCAATGTGCAGTGTGGACTAGTGTCCCCATGGGCTCCCATGTGAGTCCAGGGCCCCCAAGGATGTTCTTGACCCCTAAGATCTCACCATTTTCTCACGCCTCCCCATAGGTTTTTTATCATCAAAGAAAGCTTCCTGCTTTACTATTCTGAGAGTGAAAAGAAGAGCTTTGAAACCAATAAATACTTCAATATCCATCCTAAGGTAAGGAGGCACCTTTCCAGGGCCACAGCGAGGGAGGGACCACTGGGGACGTTTGGGAATGGCAGGGAACTATCTGTTGCCTTGATTTGGCTTAGAATCTAGAGAACAAATCCTCTCAGGGCTCAAGACACCCCCTGTAGCCTCCCCATACACACACACACTTCCTTAGCCACAGAGCCCGCCCCAGCTCTTCTTCCTTCTGGGAATCCGTCTTAGTCTTGATGTCATAACCCTGGGATGTGGTCCAGCCTGAGGTCCTTGGCAAGCCCTTGGCTTTCTCCAGGAGCCTCCCGGGACTCTTAAGTGATGTAAGCTGAGTGAGGTGGGAGCTGCCTGCTCTGCTTCTTCCTCAGGGTGTCATCCCACTGGGCGGCTGCCTGGTGGAGGCCAGAGAAGAACCCAGCATGCCCTACGCCATGAAGATCTCACATCAGGACTTCCACGTGAGTGGGGACCTTCCCCTAGCCCAGGGTCCACAGGGCTAAGCATCTTCATCTTGATCCCCTGGGAACAGCCCTGTGCAGTCTAGCCTGAGAGAACTGTCAGGGCCCAGGCCTGTTGGGGGTGGGGAGCAGAGAAGAAATCGCCTCCCTTTCCTTTGGAGTGGACACCTCTCACTCTGGCTCCTCTTCCCGGCAGGGAAATGTCTTGTTGGCTGCTGAGTCTGAGTTTGAGCAGACACAATGGCTCGAGATGCTGCAGGAGTCTGGGAAGGTGTAAGTGTCTGCCAGCTGGGCCTCTGAGGGGCCAGGATGAGAGCGGATGGGCTAGGCTGGCCCTGCCCACCTGCCTGTCTGCTGGGTCCTGAGACAGGGCCGTGGGAGCTGGCCAGGGTGTGTGGGAAGAGACAGCTCAAGCTGTAGAGCATCTGTGAGGGTGCCCTAAGTGGTGAGTTTGGGAAGGTGTCTGCAATGATAGGTGGCAGATGTGGACACCATTAGCCTCCAATTCTTGGGACTTAGTCAATCATCACTCCTCATATTCCGAACCTCAGTACGTCCATCTTGCCCTCCCAGACCTGTAATTAACCCTAGTAAGGACCAGAGATGGTGTTTGCAAATCACAGAGACCGCCTGACCAACACAGCCTGTGCCCATGCTTCTAACCCAACCAATAACACTGAGTGCCCAGCCTGGAACCAGGTGGTGGGCATGCAGTGTGTAGAAGGCTGCAAGGGCAGCAGTCCCTCCCCTCCTCTGTGAGCGAGCGCTCTTGGCTCCGTCCCTGTGGTCCACTTTGCAATCTCAGCCTCCAGTTACTGTAACTGATCAATGCTGGTGGCGTGCCCAGAGCCCTGGGTGCCAGACTGAGCTGGGATTCTGCAGGTCAGAGGAGGGGCTAGCACAGAAAATGTACTATCTCCTTCTCCCTGGGCCTTCCTCCTGGTTTAACGGTTTGTATCTCCCCCTCCCCTCTCTCCCATCTGTCTTCCCTCCCCAGGACCTGGAAAAATGCCCAGCTAGGAGAAGCTATGATCAAAAGCCTGGAGGCACAGGGGCTACAGCTGGCAAAGGAAAAGCAGGAATATTTAGGTTAGTTACGGGGTGAACTGGAATCTGAAGTTTCCTGATAGCGGCACTTGGGGACCTGAGTGACAGATGGAGAGGGGCTTGGTCGGAGTGGTACGGGAGGTCTCTCTGGGGCTTGGGAGGGAGCTTGGCACCTAGAGCACTTGATGATGTGATAAGCATCTTTTTGATCAGAGAGCTAGAAGCAGGAGAGACTAGCGGCCAAGTGCTTGGCTTTGGATCCGGCCCTGTCACCTACCTACCTGATGTGTGGATCTGTAGGCCACTCAGTCTCCATAAGCCTCAGTTTCTTGCTCCTTAAAGAAGAGATGGAAATGGTCCCTGGTGTTAGAGGTGGGGTGGAGATCAGCTTAAAGGGAAAATCCCTGGGTGTGTGTATGTGTCGGGCCTTCAGTTGAAGGACCTAAAAATGGAAAAATACTATCCTGCCTGAGTCCCAGGTCCCTTCCTCTCTATCTCCTCACCAAATCCACTTTAAACCTAGCTTCAAGACTCCAGGTCCCATGCTCTAACTGTCTGCTAAATGCCCCCAGTTGAGAGATGATGAGAATGGGTTGATCCTCTTCCTGGGAACCCTGCTGAGACATCTCAGGCCCTGGGCCCTCTCTGCCTACTCTAAGCAGACCTCCCTTACCTGGAAAGTGCCCTCTCCAACTAACTAGGCACTAGTGGGGGCAGTAGAGACTGCAAAGACCCACCTGAGCCTCCATGGTCACGTCCCCTGTGGACCTAAGGATGCACAAGACAGGGCAGAAGACCTAAAAGACAGCTTGGCCCAGTGAGACAGCTTCAGTTCAGCAGAACAGGACCCCACCCCTGGTTAGGAGTGCAGACCTCTTCCCTGGGAGACGGCATAGGTGACAGAGGTCACCCAAGGCCCCTACCCTCAGGACCCCCGAGCTGTTTTCAGTGGCTGTGTGCTTGCCTTGGCAGACAAGCTGATGGAGGAGACAGAAGAACTGTGCCTTCAGAGGGAGCAGAGAGAGGTAAGCACATAGTGTGAGTGTGCAGAAAGACTCAACTCCCCCTCATGGCTGGCATTAGGGCAGCATTTCTCAACCTGTGGGTCATGACCCCTTTGGGGGGGTTGTTTTCACAGGGGTCGACTAAGACCATTGGAAAACACAGAGATTTACATTGTGATCCATAACACTAGCAAAATTACAGTTATGAGGTAGCAACAAAAATAATGTTATGGTTGGGAAGTGTTCCCACAACACGAGGAACTGTAATAAAGGGTCTCAGCATTAGGAAGGTTGAGAACCACTGCATTAGGGGATGGTGCTGGTGTGGGGAGGGGGTTGCTAGGCATCCAGAGACTTGCCTGAGAGACCTCAGACGGGATGGAGCAGTGAGGCCACCAGATGACAGTGTCTTTACCTTGCAGTAGCATCTTGGTGGGAAGCATATTTCTCTTGTGAACCCTCAGGAAAAGAATGAGTGAGGAGCAGGTCTTAGAGACAAAGCCATCTAAACATTTCATAAGAAGCTTGCTGGTATCCACAGGAGGTTGTAATGTCCTTAGTTTTGGTGGGGTGCAGGGGGGGCAGGGGGGACCCTTCTGGTACATAAGAGTGATGGGGTTTGAGAACCTCAGAGATCCATTCATTCTGTTGCCATCAACAACACTAGCCCTGTGGAGGCTCAGCCCAGGCTTAAAGCAGACTCTTGTCTCATTTGAGCCATTGGAATCTGCTCCATTCCCACACCTGAAGGGCAGGGCATGTGGTAAGCAGAGGGAAACCTGGAGCCAACCTCCTGTGGTTGTATTTGACCTTAGCCCTTCTAACTGGATGGTCCCTGACAAGTTACTTAACCTCTCTGCATGTCAATATTCTCATCCAAGAACCTGAGGAAAATAATAAAACCCGACTTCTTAGGGATGTTGTAATGGTTAAGCAGGACGTTACATCCAAAGCATCTGACACACTGTGTGTACAGGGTATGCTCAGTGACTAGCTGTTCTTCTTAGCTCATGCTCTATGCTCATGTTATTACTAATTATGGGCCACTCCTGCCTGGGTGAGGCCTGGCATTGCAAAGTGGTGCTCAGAGGAGCCTACATCGAGGAGACTGACCCAAGCCACTTCCTTCAGCCTGGTCCCTTTTCATTGTCCTCATTCAGGCCAGCCACAGGGCTGAGGCCATCAGCTGTAGCTCAGTGCCTGGCTGTGACTCAGCTCAGGAATTCAGCTCCTTCCCCGCCGCCCCTCAAGGGACTCTAAAAGATGCCCTAAAGCCAAGAAACACAAGTCTCCTTTGGACCCCAAGCCCTCCAAGTCCTGTTACAGCACCCAGCCTCAGATGAGAGCATGGTAACATGGAGAGAATCAAGACTGGGCTGACTTGACTCTTGCAACTTTACATTGTGGCTTAATTTCAAACCACTACGACAGTCCACTTTCATTCTTCTTCCAAAATTTCACCCCCTGTGCCCACTTATTCTTCCAAATAGACTTTAGAATCTTTTCATTGATTACAAATGAAAGAAAAACAAGGTTGAAGATTTTAATGTGGAGATATGGAGTTGAAAGTAGGGTTTTGTGTCTTTAAAAAGTATTTTATGTGTATGGGCACTTTGTCTGCATGCACATCTGGTATGCCTGGTGTCCAGGAAGTCAGGTGAGGGAGTAGGACCCTGAACTGGCCTCACCATAGTGCCTTGCTTCTCTTCTCCCAGAGTTTGAGCCCTAAGGTCTGTACACTCTCATCTAAATCCCATTAGAGTTTGGGCCTCTTCTCCATAGCATCCTAAGCATTTGCAATGAGACTTTGATATATGGTCAGAAACTTTAAGGACAGATGATTTGGGAGGCCCAGCATAGGATGGAGTGGGAGACACAGCCCCCAATGGGGAGAGGAGACTTAGCCAACAGAGGTTGAATCTGGGGCAGAAATTGGCCCAAGGAAAATTTAGACACACTATCTAGGTCTTAGCTTGGAAATGAGGGCAGCGGAGATCCAGGGCACACGGGCCTCGCTTCACGCCACAGCACTGAAGTGGGATGCTGGCAGCTACAGAATACAAGGAAGGTGCAAGCCCAGATGTTGATGTGGTGGGGGACTTCTGGAGCAGGCAGCAGGAAGGGAACCACCCCAGGTCTAAGCTCCCTGTCAGTGATGTGCTCTAGCCCAGAAACAGAGCCCGGATTCTGCTCCTGGTCTGGCCACACTGAGTCACTGTGCCTGCTCTTCCTTAGTTAGCTCCCCCATAGGGTAGGTAGACTTGTCCCCAGTACCTTCCCCTCCTGTTCTAGATCAGAGATTGGCAGAGGGGTTTGGGGCCGCATAGAAAGAATTCTGTATCCCAGAGACAAGATGGCTCTTCTGATGATGTATGAGGTTTCCAGGGGATAGCCTGACCCAGAGGGAGCCTTGGATTCTGCAGCCAGGAGACCTGGCAGAGTCTCAGCTTCAATACTCACGGTGTGAATGTTGTCTGATTCCTCTGGACTTCGTGTTCTTCATCTCTAATGCTTAATAAAAGTAACGGCTGCTCTCCGTTCTTCTGGGTTGCTGAGAAGCTAAACGGACTAGAATTCAGGGAAATGTGCCATGGGATGGCGTGGCCATGTACCTGTAGCCATGGCATTTTCCACACGTCAGAGAAAGCCTGGAACTCCTAGCCTAAGTGTTTTTAGCCAAGAATGCATACAGAGCTGCCTGGGCATATCTTCCAGGGCCATCAGGCTTTGCTCTTTTTTTTTTTTTATTTTTTCATTTATTTTTTTTTTGAGGGCGTGGTTCTCTCAAGACAGGGTTTCTTTGGGTAGCCCTGGCTATCCTGGAGCTCACTCTGTAGACCAGGCTGGCCTTGAACTCACAGAGATCTGCCTGCCTCTGCTCCCAAGTGTTGGGATTAAAGGAGTGCGCCACCACCGCCCAGCAGGCTTTACTGTTAGTGTAGCACATTCTGTAGATTTTGATAAATATAAAATGCCACTAATTCACCATTGTGAGATCACAGAGAATAGTTTCACTGCCTTAAACATTCTGCATTCCCTCTGTTTGTCTCTCCTACCACTAAGCCCAGCAACCACTGATCTTTTGACTGTCCCCAAAGGTGTGCTCTTTCCGGAGTGTCATGGAGTTGGAGTCATACACCAAGTAGGCTTTTCAGATCACCATCTTTCACTTAGTAAGGTACATTGAAACGTCCACTGTGCCTTTGTATGGCTTGAACACTGGTTCCTTTTCAGAGTTAAATAAATTTGTTTTGTTTTGTTTTTGTTTTTTTGTTTTTTGTTTTTTTTGGTTTTTTTTTTTCGAGAGAGTTGAATAAATTTGTTATCTGGGTATATACCTATTTTCTCATTGAAGGACCAACCCTCTGGGTTGTTCCAGGTTTCAGCGATTATGAATGGAGCCATTATAAACACTCATAGATAGTTTGTTGTGTATGGACAGACACTTGTCAGTTCACTTGAAAAAGAAACAAGGAATGTTATATTCTTTTTAGTTTATTTGGTGTAAATTCAATATTTAATTTGGTGGAAGAAATTGAAATCACTTCTTCAACTCACGTCACTCAGAAATATATTGTTTAATCTCCAGTCACTTTGTGGCTTTTCTTGCTATTGTTTTGATATGAGTTTCTAGTATAATTCATTACTGATTAAGAGCAAATGTTATATGGTTTTTAGTCTTTTAAATTTGTTAAGGAGTGTCTCCTCCTGTGGAGGCCAGGCTCTCTTGATGAACGGTCTATGCGAGCTTGGGAATAATGTGGAATATGCCACCGTTAACAGTGTGGTTTGTCAATCCTAGAAGTTTGATCTACCATGACAAAGTCAGGCCAAGTGGTTTCAACGAGAGCAATCTATTTCTCAGAGTTCTGGAGACTAGAAAATGAAAGATCAAGTAGTTAAAAAGGCAAGTTTTATTCTGAGGTCTCTCCCATAGGCAGCTGCCAGTTGATGGTGTACTCTACGTCCTACCTTGTCCACACATGGGACAACATGAAAAGCACGCTCTCTGGTGTATTTGGAAGTTTCTCTCAGTGGAGACATTCTTTATTCTTTCAGAGTGTGGCTTTGTTATTTTGCTTTGGGTTTTTGTTTGCTTGCTTGCTTTGTGAGGTAGAGTGACATGTAGTTTAAGCCAGCCCTGAACTCCTGATCATCTATGTTTCCTGTGTCCACCTCCTGAGTTCCGGGATTACAAGAGCACACCATCACACCTGGCCATTGTCTAATTAATTGTCTTGTGTTTTGAATCTTGCATTTAGGGGGTGTGTGTGTGTGTGTGTGTGTGTGTGTGTGTGTGTGTGTGTGTATGAAATTTCCATCTCCCCACATATATTAATCATCTATTTTTACATATCTATTTTTTTCTATTAAAGTCTTCAGCATATAACCCACAGTTGGGTTTGTTTTTAATTTTTAACTCCTGGTCTGATCATTTTAACAGTCCTGCTATCTGACTCTGGTTCTGATAATCTCTTCAAACTGTATATTATATTTTGTTTTGAGACAGGGTCTCTCTATGTAGCCTTGGCTGGCCTGGAACTCACTATGTAGACCAGACTGGCCTCCAACTCCCAGGGATCCACCTGCCTCTGTCTTCTGAACCCTGAGATTAAAAGCCTGACCTGGATGGCACTTGATAAGCACTTACTAATGGCAAGCCGTTTGCATGAATGAACTTGTGCGTAACTCTACAAGACTGTGCTTCCTCACTTCAGGTAGTGCTTGAAGTGCCCCTCCCCTCTCTGCTCTAGGTCTTAAGAAGTGATTTCAAGAGAACTCTCCCACCAAATTAAATATTGAGACCTAAGTCTAAAAAATAATATAACATTCCTTGTTACTTATTCAAGTGAACTGACAGCGTCTCTCCATACACAACAAACTATCTATGCATGTTTATAATAGCTCCATTCATAACTGCTGAAACCTGGAACAACCCAGAGGGTCGGTCTTTCAATGAGAAAATAGGTATATACCTATTTGGTTGGGGGGGGGGAGACAACAACAAAAGATCCTCACCTAAGCCTGCGGTCCTGCATGGCCTACAGTGTCTCCTTTGTCAGCCTCCCTGCATCTCCGACCCCAGCCTCTCACCCATCCTGTTTGCTCTCATGTTTCATATGGGCCTGGCTTGGTTCTTCCAGGCAACATGTTTCCATAGGGGCTTTGTATGTACTATTCCTTCCATCTGGAATGTTCTTTCCTCTTGTACTTAACTAGGCAAGGCACTGAGCTAAATCTCCAACCCATTTATCTACCCAGCTTTGTCTCTCAGCTCAAGAATCAACCGAATGCCCCTCTTTCCACCCTCCGTGAAGTTTTCTATTCTACTTACATCCAGGACAGATTGACCTGGAACTGGGTCCCTGTCCTGCAGGACTTGTATCTTGTTTTGTAGTACTCTCCGAGATACCGGATTATTTTAGTAATACTGGATTCCTACATTTGATCTGAAATCCTGGTCTGGGTTTCTTAGTAGCTACACTAGACCATAGGCCCTGTAAGAACATCTTCAGATCCCGCATGCAGAGCCCAGCAGGTGCTTGGAACGTAGGATGCACTTGGTAAATAGATGTAGCGTGAGTGAACAGAACTATGAGAAAAAAATCTCACTGGTCTATTTCCTGGAATTGCATTGAGCCTGTCAATTACTTGCAAAGAATCCTCCCTGTATTAAGGCTTCCTGATCAGGAGCCCCTGTGGTTGTATTCTCTTCATGGGTATAATTAGTTTTATTGAGGACCAGAAATCATGGTCTGTGAAGCATGGCAAACAAGAGGTGTTTAGCTTGGAGGACAGGAAACTTGGGAACAGAATTTTTTTTTTTTTTGGTTTTTCGAGACAGGGTTTCTCTGTGTAGCTTTGCGCCTTTCTGGGACTCACGTGGTAGCCCAGGCTGGCCTCGAACTCACAGAGATCCGCCTGGCTCTGCCTCCCGAGTGCTGGGATTAAAGGCGTGCGCCACCACCGCCCGGCTTTTTTTTTTTTTTTTTTTAATACTTGAAGGGAAAAGAAATTAGTCTTATTTGATGGCCTAAGGAGAAGCTAGATTCGGTGAGGGAGGCAGACTTGGGCTGAAATGGAACTGGCGGACAACATGGGCTGCTTGCTTCTCCAACTAGAGCAACCTGGAGTGACCAGGTGCTGGCTGCTGCTGCTCTTGGCCCTGCGGGTCTTCTGTTTGGCTTGGACTATATAGGCTAGCTCCTGTCTTGTGGACTGGGTCCCACCGGCCTCAGAGACTTAGAGAGAGCCTGGAAGAGAGTGTGACAAAGGCCAGGAGCGAGGCAGCTGCTGAAGGGAGAGAACGTTTGAGCAAGGGCAGAGGTGGTGGCTCGAGAGACGGGGAGAGGGGCAGTGTTGTTGCATGAATGAGGTGAGCCCTGCTGTTGGTTCCCTGTGAAGATTTCCACAAAACCTTCCATCATTCACCAGTGCTTTTGTGTCTGTGGCTTTTAGAGGGGGGTGGGGGTGGGGGCAGGCAGAGCTGGCAGAGGGCGGGGCTTTCTCTAGGTTGTTCAAAGCTGAAACCGATTTTCTGATTTCCTGCCATGAGATACTCAAGCCAACCTTGACCACCTGTTGGCAGAAAATCCTCAGGGGATTCAAGCATCCTGTGAAGACTGAACTTCCTTTAAAGTTGCTTTGGTGCAGGATGGCTCTGGTCCATGACACCCATTCTGCTGGCCCCTTGAGGCAGCAGCACATGCTTCCCTGGGCATCGCTAGTCATTGACACAAGCAGAAACATCTTACCACATATGCTTGAGACCTCTGAGTGGAGAAGAAAGGCCAAAGGCTGGCTTGTGTTTGTTGTCCTATTGTGTTCAAAGTTACTTTTCTCTTTAAGGTTCTTAGAGACACTGCCTAGCATCTGCCAGTCTCCCGAGGTGCTTGGGCACTAGGGAGGGAAGGTCTGAGTTTCAGACCCTGACTGACAGTTCAACAGAAGCCATTCCACTGTGATAACGAGTGAAGGGAGAAGGCTGTAAGCTGCAGGGCTAGGGAGCTTTCCGGGGAGCCTGAGTGCGTGAGGCTGAAGGGTAGAGTCCTCTAATAAGTCCTGGGTGATCATTTCTGAAACAGCAGAAGCCTTGGGACCTGTGAGAGCCATTATGGAGCTCAGGTGCTTCTGGCTAGTGAGTTCTGTGGGCCTCTCAACAGCCCTGGCACAACTGACAAACAGCACCAGAGGAGAATTGGTCAAGTGTGTTGACTATGGCCAGAGAGGCTCTCAGCAGCACCATGTGTATTAAAGCAGAGAGTTTCATGTTTCTTTTTTAACACTGTTATTATTATTATTATTATTATTATTATTATTATTATTATTATTATTATTATTATTTGAGACAGAGTTTCTCTGTGTAGCCCTGGCTGTCCTGGAACTCGCTCTCTAGCCCAGGCTGGCCTCGAACTCACAGAGATCTGCCTGCCTCTGCCTCCCAAGACCTGGGATTAAAGGCGTGTGCCACCACCACCCAGCCTCAAATTTCTTTTTTTAAGGTCTGAAGTTTTCTTCAGTTGTAAGGGGGAGAGGGATATGTGCAAGAATACAAATTTAATTTATATCTTATTAATATAAGATGTGTCAAATATAGATATGGCTAGGTCATGGCTTCTGCAGCAACCAAAAGCCCCCATATGTCCATGGCTTTTAACAGCACAAATGTGTTTTCTCACACAGCTACTTGGGCTGGCGGGAGCTCTGTTTCATGTGTCCTCATTCCTAGGGATCCAGGCTAAGGGGACCCCCACCTATGCCAGGGGAAAGGAACCATAGCCCACCACACACCATCTTTTCAAAAGATATCTGCCTTCCTGCTCACATTCCGTCAGCCTCAGCTACTCCCATGAGCCCCGCTACCCATAGCCAGTGTACTGGAGCTGTGCGTGTGCCCTGGAGCCTCAGAATGCCAGGGAGCAGCCCGGGTGGAGGCAACATTTAGCAAACACAGGCAGTTTGTAACCACGTGCCAGTAAAGATTTGATGAGAAGGAAGTCACTTACTTGGGTAAGAAACTTAGGCGTGCGGATTAAAATGAGACTCTCCCCTGTATCTATTTTATTCCCTTTTTGCATCTCTTCAAAGCCAGTGGTAACAGCGCCCTCCATAGGCAGTGCCATTCCCTACCAAGGGTGCCATTATGCTTGAGAATAAAGCCCCTAGGTGACCAGATTGTAATTTAGAACCGGAAAGCGAGAAAGCAGATGCAGAAACAATATGCTCCCACAACATAAAATGTGAAAAACAAACAAACAAAAACCGTGAGCTAAACTTCATGAAATGGATCCCTAATACCACCTGCTACAGATCCAGGGAAGATAGGATCCCTAGCCTAGAGGCTCCAACTTGCTGGGGGAAACATTGAGGCTGGCTAGCTTCCCTGAAGGGACCTGTCCTGGGCTTTCCGACACTCCTACTCCGGTAGGTCTGAGGAGAGGGAAGCTGCCCATCCCTAGAGATAAAGAAAACCTTATTGTCTGACTCCTGGGTTGGGAATAGCTTTGCTTTGCCACTATACCCGATGCCATTCTGTGTCCTGGAAATACACACTCCACGGGGTTGTTTTGCTTTTGTTCCACGCTTGGAATAACCGCTTCACGTTGGGATGTTAGCTCCCAGTGTTGCCCAGCGGAACCACATCCAGGTTTACAGTCATATCTGTCAGAGGACCCTTGTTGGGATCATTAACTGTTTTCATGGGCCAGGTTCATCACATTTTTGGGTTAGTTGAGACCACATGCCACTGAATGGCTCCTTGGGATTTACAAGTTTGCCCTTTTGCCCTAAACGGAGCCAAATTCTCGAGGGTCCCCTGGGCTAGCGAGAGGAGGGATCGTCCTGAGCCTAGGGGCCCTGCACGTCCTGTGACTTTCCTCTTCTCTGGTTCTCTTCAGGAGCTTGAACGTCTGAACCAGGTGCTGGAGGCCGAGAAGCAGCAGTTCGAGGAGGTGGTGCAGGAGCTGAGGGTGGAGCAAGAGCAGATCAAGAGGTGACGGCAGGCCTGGGGGCGGGCCTGGGGGCGGGCCTGGGGGCATGCCTTGTCCCGGGAGAGGCAGCTGGGAGGGGTGGGGTGGGGGGTTTACCCTGGCCCTGGGAGGGGCAACAGGGACGATACTCTGGCCCTGGGAGATGGGGGGGATGACGGAGTGAGGGATGCCCCGGCCCTAGGAGGGGCAACAGGGGGAATGCCTTGGCTCTGAGAGGGGCAGCAGAGTGATTTTCTAGCCCTGGCAGACCCATGGGCAGCCAGACCTGCAGAGAGCTTTACCAGGAAACCACTCAATGCTCCAGGTCTTGAGTATACCCAGAAAATACGCCCCCCCCCCCAAGTAGGTCATTTCCAAACATTGATAATGACCTCTTGCCAAGGTGTGAACAAAAGTGTGAGACACGGGTGACTGCAGCCTAACCTCTTCCAAGGAACAAGTCCCCCCACCCCTCCACCACCTTTGTGAGAGCCACTTACCCAAGTTATTGGCAACAATCTGGCCTGGCCTAGAAGTGCTGCCCACAAAAAAAACCCAACATTCTCCATCTCTCCTGGAATCCTTTCACATTTTAGTTCATGACACATTGGGATCTTCAGTCTGATGTATTATTTACAAATCTAGTTGCCCATGATAAGCATTAATTGCATTATAATCTCATAAAGGTGGGACATGTGTGTATCCCCAACCCAGGTGACTCAGATGTAGTCTATGCAGAATTTGGAAACTGCTTCTGTGATTGATGGTGCTCAGTGTCACACCACCTCCACCATCATCATCATCTTCACCACCACACGGACTATCAGTGACAGTCCAGAAACACTTACTCGGGACAACCTTATTTAAGGGAATCATTTAGATATGTGTTTGGGGGAGGGAGAAATACGGAGACTCTTTTTCCTAATTTTTAAAGTTAGTGTACAAGTAAGAGGATCTCCCTAAGTAAAACACCAAGCACTTGTTGGACACTGAATTAGAAGCTAAGTTCTTGGCTTCAGGACCTTTCTTTGTCCGGTAAGTAAATCCACATTTGGCTGAGCGTTCCTTGCGGCCCTGACTCTGCATCTGTTTTCAGTAGCCAGTGTTGCAGAGCACTGGCTGTCCAAGGGCCATACTGAGCCACATCAGCTATGACAGAAGCATGACTGTAGGCAGAGGTTGGCAAGAGTGCCCACTGCCATTCCAGCTCTCCATCCCCCACAGGGAGCTAGAACTCACTGCAAGATGCCTCAAGGGTGTGGAACAAGAGAAGAAGGAGCTGAGGAATCTCACAGAATCCTTACAGCGCACACTGGAGGTGAGAGGGTTGCTCGCCCAGGAGGGTAAGTTGGCGGGTTGGGTTACGTAATTCTGGATTTCTCGGTATTTCCTAAGGAAGGTACTTACAGGAGAATAAGCATGAAGGGAAGCTTATCTAAAGGACCCTGTCTGTGGATGGTTGGGAACTCTAGCTGGCACATGAAACCCAAAGCATGGACTGGTTCTTCCCAGACCCAGAACAAACATTCTGCCTTGTCCTTGTGACGACCGTGGCCTCAGGAAACCTGCTTTCTGTAGTGCTGGTCTTATACCAGAGGCAGGATTGATTAGAGTGAGAGGTGGGGTCACCCACCACATCCTCCTGTGGTTCCTTCACTTAGCTGCTCCTTGGTGAAATTGAGCATGAAGGGAAAGCAACTTCCAGGTCACCTTCATCTGATACACGAGACCGAGAGGGGGAGGGACAAGCAGCATGTGTCAAGGACAGAGAACAAACTTCTTAGCATAGCATGCAAGTACAACCTTCCAGCCTTTACTCTCCTGCTTCCCCTCCATCCCCTGCTCCAAGACACTCCAGCCCCTGCTCCAACCACTGAGCTCATGCCCCTAAGGAAAACAAGCTTTTTGATCCCCCCACACCTCTACCCTACTGTCGCTTCTACACAACATATCTTTCTCATCTCTTCTTTGGAGAACGATTTGTTTTCAGACTCAGCTAAAATGTCTCTTTAGTCAGCTTTCTTGACTCTTCTAGGTCGGTATTTGCTCTGTTCCCAAGCATTTTGCACATCTGCTGTAGGATTAACTCTGGGTTGTGTTTTTGAAACTGTGATCTCTACTTGGCCATGTCTTCACAGTTTCCCAAAGTCCAGCACCTGAAGTGAGCTTGGGACCATATACTTTAGTTGAGTCCATCAAGTGCGTGAAGGCTACAAGACTTTCAGTCTCCCTGGAGTGACTGGAGCCTTGGCTGGTTTAGCTTTCCCCGTCATGGGAGTGGTCACCATGGATATTTCCAACCCCAGAATTTCACTGCAGTGTTTTGATCCTGACTGATAAATGCAGAGAATGTCTAGATGCACTCTTGGACTGCTCCTTTGGGGTATTTTCACATGAGCCCAATATATCTCCTTTCTCCTTGAGGAACAAGGACCTCAAAAAGCCATGTTGCCCTGAGGCCTTGGGACCTGGCCCTGATAGGTACCATCTCTATTGGAAGTCACATTGGGTTCCTCCTTGTCTGTCTGTCTGTCTGTCTTCATGGAGGAGTAACCTGGACATGTTGTAAGGAAGAAGATCTTGGAATGAGGCACGTGAAATGTCCATCATGGAGGACTGAGGGAGGAGTAGATCACTCCCTGGAATTGCAAGGAGACCAGGGCAGCCATGCTGGAGAACTAACCCCTGCTCCTCCCCACCCTTCCTTGCCTTTGTGCCAGGAACTCTCCATAGAGAAGAAGAAAACCCTAGAGATGCTGGAGGAAGATAAGAACCAGCCACAGCCATCGACCAATCAGAGTGAGCAGCCACTTGCCAGTGATGGTCTCCATAGCAACCTCAGGCAGATTGAAGAGCGGATGCAGGAGCTTTTGGCAGAGAAGCTTCTGGCCGAGAAGCGGTGAGGCACCTGAGACCACTGGGTCCTCCAGTAGCTTGGGGGCTGTGACTGCCCTCAAGTTATACAACTGGACTTGAGTTCCAGCTGTCATTGACGAGACGGGTCACTTACTTCCTTTTTGCCCATGACCTGACTTTCCCAAAGCTGCCTTGACAAACCATTCAGAGCAGCATCAAGTCCTCAGAACAGTGCCTGTGGCCAGCCAACAGGTTCTCATAGCTTCTATCCACCTGACCCATGAAGAAACCGAGCCTCACTGGGGTTGGCAGACTTCCTGAGGTCAGAGAAGTAGCAATCCCTGAACCTCTAAGCCTAGGGCTCCCATCACTCCATACCACCTCCCCTCATCGCCTAGCTGACTGGACCCGAAGAGGGGTCAGTCTTTCTCTAGCCATGTCTCTCGCAGGGGCACCTCCCTTTGTAGGCGAGCACTGGGTAAGCATCCCTCCCGCCCACAGGATGAAGGAGAATGAAGAACGCTCACGGGCCCTGGAGGAGGAACGGGAGTTCTACTCAAGCCAGTCTCAAGCTCTGCAGAACTCGCTTCAGGAGCTGACTGCAGAGAAGCAGCAGGCTGAGCGGGAGCTCAAGGTATGCAGCCCGCATGGACCTTGTGCTCTGGGCTCTTCCCAACTGCTGGGGACTCCTGCCCATCCCTGTACTTCACAGCTACCCTCTCCCAGTGTGTTCAGCTGGCCAGATTCAGGGATGGGTTTATCACAAGAGGTAACAATCTCTCTATCACTGGTAGACAAGTGTTAGGAACAGGGCCATGCCCGGTCATCTGGGTCATGGGTAAGGCACAGAACCAAGATATGGAAACTTCCATCCAAGCCCATTGAGCCCAGGATGATCGGGAAAGGTGTGCTAGCCATTTTTCCCATTACTGTGATGAAGCTTCTGTCAAAAGCAGCTTAAGGAAGGAAGGTTCATGGTTTGGGGGATGTAGTCTGTCATGACAGGGAAATCATGATGGTGGGAGTATGGGGCAGCTTGTGTCATTGGGTCTGAAGTCAGGAAGCAGAGAGATGAATCTATACCTTTTCCCCTTTCCTTTCTGTTCAGTCTGGCACCCCAACCCATGGGATAGTACCACCCACACTCGGGGTGCACCCTCTCCCCTCCGTTAAACCTTTCTGGAGATGCCCTCACAGACACACCAGAGGTGTGTCTCCTAGGTGATCCTAAGTCTGGTTCAATTAGCAAAGAAAATAAACCACCACGGAAGGCTTCTGGGGAGGTGGAGACTGCTTCCTGGACTCAGCTTCCCTCTTGCCTGTCCCTCCGTCTAGGCTGAAGTGAAGGTACGCATGGACCTGGAGAGACGACTTCGCGAGGCAGAGGCAGCCTTGCGGAGCCTGGAACAAGGGCTCAATTCCAAGGTTCGGAACAAGGAGAAGGAAGAGAGGATGCGGGCTGATGTGAGCCACCTGAAAAGTAAGGCCTCCCCCTCCAGGGCCCAGCCCCACTAGAGCCTGGAACAGGGCCTGCATGTGTGAAGTGGTCCTTCCTAGAATCCCCTCTCCAGTCACCATCCTGTAGGAGTCCCTTTGCGGCAGCTGGGCCTGGGGTGAGGGTATGGGAGGAAAGCCTGAAGTTTCGTCCTCTTTTTCAAAAGCTCAGAGCTCTGTTCCCAGCGGATCTTCTCTCTGAGAGCTACAGGTTGTGGTCTGAGTGCTTAGGAGGGGAAGGACAGGCCCAGAGAAAGATGCAGCCAACTGCTCCTTCCCACCACCACAGGGTTCTTCGAGGAGTGCATCCGCAATGCAGAGCTTGAGGCCAAGATGCCGGTCATCATGAAGAACTCCGTGTACATCCACAAGGCCGCCACTCGTCGCATCAAGAGCTGCCGCTTCCACCGTCGCCGCTCCAGTACTTCCTGGAATGACAGTGAGCGCTCATGTGCCTCTGTGGGGTCGGGTGGCACAGGCTGTGTCGGCGGCGACGAGGCAGGAAGAGGGCTGGTTTGGGGACAAGTAGCCAAGGCTGGGTAGTATGCCCTTGAACCTGGCCCTACCAGACTTGGGGCCAAGTGAAGCTCAGCAGCCTGTAGGGCTGGACCGAGGGAGGGAGGGTGGGCTCAGCATGGGGGAGTGCCATGCATTGGTCTTTTGTCTCCCCAGTGAAGCCATCCCAGTCCTTCATGACCTCCCAGCTAGAAGCCAACAACATAGAAGAGCTAAAGGAGGTGGCCAAGCGGCTAAGCCGAGACCAGCGCTTCCGAGAATCCATCTACCACATCATGGCCACCCAGCCTGGGGCCACTGCGCTCCCCCGGGGTGGAAAGTGATGGTACTCCTCTCCCACCTCCTATCTCTCCTTGGTAGGGTAGGAGGGAGGCCTGACTCTCCTTGGCTCCTCTCCACCAGAGCACCCCTGGGGGAGGGGTACCCTTATTCTCAAAGGAGGTGATAAGTCCCTCTGCTTTACCTCGAGCCCTGACCTTGGAGATCAGAAGAAAGTGTTGGAGTCCCTGGAACTGGAGTTATGGATGGTTGTGATCCACTATGCGGGTGCTGGGAATTGAACCTGGGTCCTCTGGAAGAGTCACAAGTGCTCTTAACCACTGAGCCATCTCTCCAGGCCTGAGCCCTGACCTTGGGTCTACACTATGTAGGTGGCTCCACACTGGGAGCTACCTGGTTGTCATGATGAGGCCCGACTGTGTGTGGAATCTGTTGGTCAGGAAGAGAAAATATTCCACAAGGGTAGGCAGGGCCTGCCCACTGGCTGAGGACTGAAAAACTTCGCTGGTACCCACCTGATACCATCTGTGACTCCGCTGCTCTGCCCCTGGTCTCAGGACACCCCCTAACTCTCTCTTTGCCCCTGTTCCCCCTATACAACTTCTGTCCAGGCTCCTCACTTAGTCCATGTCCTTGGAGAGGGAAGAGCGGGTCCTAAGACACAACCCCATACCCTCTCTGCAGTATGCTACTTCCTGGGGGCTGCCCTGGCTGTAGGGCCATCCAGGCCTCCCTTCCTATTTACGAGTGAACTTCTCCGTATACAGTCTCAACAGAGGGAGCGGGAGAAGTGTGTGATCCCACCTGGGGAAGATCAGCCCTGATTGGGAGCTCTCAACCCAGGACGTTCCCCAAAGTACACACAGCCGGCTCAGGAGTGCGGAAGCCAAGGCTCCTGTATTTTCCACAGTCGGGCAGAGCTTTAGCTGCCTCAGGCTGTTGTGGCCCTACTGCCACAGATCACAGAGGTCTGTCTCCTTCCCAGCTGGCTCCGCTTGCTGCCTCCTCTCCCAGAAGCGGCTTCACTCAGTGAACCAATGCAGCCATGAACCCACCACAGGGGAACATGGGCCCGTGGGGAGCCAGTAGCCATTGGCTGGTTCATTGCTGTTGTCATAGCGACACTGTAACACCAACCTGCAGATTTTGTGGAAGACCACTATGTTGCAGGAGGACAAGGACCGCGTTCCTCATCTGTGACAGTCTTAGGGGCTCATCCCTCGGAAGCTGCCTGAGTCTATCATTCTCTCCAAACAAGACTAGGGGAGTGTAGTGGAGATGTGGTGCAATGGTTAAGGACACTTGATGCTCTTACAGAGGACCCAGATTTGGTTCCCAGCACCCACATGGTGTCTCACAACCATCCGTAACTCCATTGCCAGGAGATCCAACACCCTCTTCTGACCTCCACAGGCACCAGACACTCACATGGTGCATGTACATACATACAGACAAAACATTCATACACATAAAATAAATAAATCTTTAAAAAGTGCTTAAAAGGAGCCAAGTGGCGGTGGCGCATGCCTTTAATCTAACACTCAGGAGGCAGAGGCAGGTGGATCTCTGTGAGTTCGAGGCCAGCCTGGTCTACAGAGTGAGATCCAGGATAGGCATTAAAACTACACAGAGAAACCCCGTCTCAAAAAACAAAACAAAACAACAACAACAAAAAAACCAACAACAAAATGTTTAAAAGGGACTGGGTGCTAAGACTTTGGTGGAACAAAGGCATCCTTTTTTTTTTTTTTCTTCAGAAGACTGAAGTGTTCTGAGGGAGGGACTGAAGAAGCAGCCCCTGGGAAGAACCCTTGCCAAGGCTTAGGCTACCCTGTTCTCAGTGGTCACTTCTTGGTGGGGGTGGTCTCAGGTAGGGTACTTTGGAATCAATGCATTTGTGCATACATATAAAGCTTTAAATGTGTATAAACGTGCATAAACCCAGAGCTTGTCTATATAATATGTATGTGGAATGGATTTTGAAATGAAGATTTATAAAATCAAGAGTACTGGTTTTGTTTGTTTTTAAAGAGTTAATAATGGCTTGCTCTTGGGGGAAAGTTCAAATGCCTCTAGTTTTCCTGGGCAAGGTATTAACGGGGGTGGGGGTGGGTGGGGGGGGAAGTACTGCTGTAACAGAACACCTGCAAGTGTGTATTGATCCTGTTTTGTTTATTTATCCAGGGTCTTATGTAGCCCAGGCTGGACTTAAACTCAATGTTACTGAGAATGGCTGGCTTCCACCTCCTGAGGGCTGGGCTTCAAGCATACTAGGCAACACTCTACCCTGAGCTACATACCCAGCCGGACTAAATAATTTATGAAGAATGGAAGCTGCTGGGCCATAATCTCAGCCAGAATTCAGGACGCTGAGGCAGGGGCCCATCACAAATTTGAGATCAAAGTCAGTCTGGGCCGCAGACTGAGACCCTGTCTTGGGACAAAGCCAAGAAAACCTGCTGCCGTGACACCCCACTCCCGTAGGGACCTCTTAAAGCTCTAGGGTTCCCACTTTTAACACTGTTGTAATGGCAATTGAGTTTTAACATGAGTCTGGGAGGAGGTAGACTCAAATCTGCAGCGGGGCAGTCTGAACACAAGCACCAGTTCCCTAGTTCTTTCCCTCCTGTTTTTCACTTGCCTTCCATGCCTCAGACAAATCTGGGTTATCTCCAACCATACCTAACACAGTATATGCACACGCAGCATCCCTATATGAAAATCTGGAGGGCTGGAATTACTTACTGGAAACATATTGACATGGTATATAACATTAATATTATGTAGCAATTTCTAAAAGTAACTCTTATTCATTGGCCAATTAATTAAATGCGCTACTTCCTGCCGTGTCTTTGAAGTAGGCAGTGGAGTCATTTCTAGAGAGGTGCTGCCCCCTGCAGGCCACCCCTGGAATTGTAGCATCACTTCCTTCATGTTCCAGCTAAGAACTCTCCACGGCTTATCTCCTGTGACTGACTTCTTAATAACTAGCTGAAAAAATATGTGTTTCGACCCGAGGTCCTGGATGTCCCCATGGAATAGGACAATCAGAAGGATTTTCCTCTGATTTGAGTATAGGCTGAAGGGACAGCCTGAAAGAAAGAAACTGCCTGTTAGTTTCAATATCCACACTAGGAATGGACGGTCAGCCTGCTCTGGTTGAGAGTTTATGCTTTGTTCCATAATCAGAGGAGAATCAGAAATGAGTTACTGCATTCTCCTGTCATTCGATTGGTTTCCTAGCTGAGGATGGATGGTACGTGTCCCGCCAGGCCGCCCTGGTGTGTCCTGCTTCCCAGCATACCCAGTGGCTCTCCACTTCCCTATCATGAATGGTCCCCTGAGAATAGTCATGTTGTGGCCACTTGCTTCTAATGCTTTGCCACCGTTTTAATGACTTTTCTTGTTTCTGTGTCCAAATACCGGATACAAAACAAGGAAGGGTTTGTTCTGGCTTGCAGTTTGAGAGCACGGTCCCTTACTATGGTGGGGAAGCCATGGCGACAGAAGCTTGAGGCAGCCGGTTGTGACAGTGCCACCTCAAAGGAGAGAGTCTTCCTCTTGAGGCAATCTATCCCAAGAGCAATCCCAGACTGGAATTCTCCACTTTTCTGCCTGTGCCCATTGTCTGTCCATAAGGACTTTGCTCTGTAGTTATTGACCAACACAGAAAACATGGTGTAGGAAAGGATTGAGGAATAGCCTGACTTATTTTTTTTAAACCAGATTTTATAAGAGTTTACTTTATTGAACCCCAGTGACCCAGAATAGTGCTCAAAACTGCAAACCGATGTTATGAACCTATATCTACATGCTGTTTCCAACATTTATGGTGGACAATTAAATTATTGTTTTCGATGCTGTCATATTCATCCGATGAGTTAACTAATATCTCCCTCTCTCTGACACACCACACACACACACACACACACACACACACACACACACACACACACACACACACACACACACACACGGTCATGGACGAATCACAAAGGTCAGAGGGAATTTGGTCTGAGAGTAAAGCCATGCATTCAGTTTAGCTTGTAAAAGTGGGTTACAGGGCAAGTCCAAGGCCAAGGCCTAGTAAAGTTGGCTACATTGTTTTCTTAAAGCAAGATAAACAGGCTGAATACACAGTGAGGGAACAGGTTAAGCACACAGCTTTAAGTGATCTCCAGGCATATTATTAACTCGGTTGCAAGGCCAGCAAAAGTTCAGCCTCTGAAGTCAAGAGTGTTTCCAGAGAAAGCCGTTCCCACAGCTGTCACAGCTGTCACCCTGCCTCTGTAGTCCGGAAGCAGAGAGCCAGGAATACCACACTTGAGCTCTCGACGTTTAGCCCCAGACTCCAGCCCATAGAATCATCCCACCCACATTTCAGGTGGACCTTCCAACCTCCATGAACTTAATCTAGATAATCTCTTACAGACACAATCAGAGGTTTGTTTCCATGGTGATTAAATCCCAGCAAGTTGACGGTATTAACCATCTTACCCCTCAAAGACAGGTTAAAGGAGAAGGTACGTGACTTGGGAAGCACCCACATTCCCGCCCAGGGAAGGACCTGCTGAAGGGACTCTAGCCATCCTGAGCACAGCAAACATGGCTCTGGCAGGCCTTGCCCTTCTCTCCCACCCCCATTCCCTCATTTTAGCCTTGCTAAAAACTATTAGAATACAATCCTAAAGCTAGCTACCAAGGTCTGTTCCCTTATTGGCCACTTCCTCCAAGACTGACTACCAAGGCCCAGCTACCAAAGTATTGAAGTCCAGCAATCAAAAACCCCCTTTGGCTCACCTAATTAACACGCCCAGTTAAAATTAAAAACCTCGTCCTAACTCAGGACTCCCCTCTTGGACAAGTACCCCCTCCCCGCTCCCTGGTTCCCTTTTCCTTATCCCTCATCCTCTATCTCCAGTCTTTGTCTCTGTTCCCCGCCCTTTGTTCCTCTGGGGCCAACAAATCTCCTTTGTGCTGAGAACTTGATCTTGGGGTGTCTTGAGCTGACTCCGAGTTTCCCCGTACCTGGTACCCTTCCTCCATCTCCCTCAAACCACTGATGGCTCACAGCTTAGCCTGACCTGGGCAGCCTGTTTGGAGGACAGGTGTGTGTCCCAGTCTCAGGAGCAGCCTAGGATGTCAGATGTGATCTAACCAGACCACAGCTGTTAAACTACCAGGCAGAGCAGTCGCCTGGTACCTCCACCAGGGTCCATGGAGCCCCGTGCCCCTGCCAGCAAGGGAGCTGCTCAAATCTCCAGCCCTCTGCAGTCTCCCCCTAGTCCCACAGCTGGAAATGCAGTCTGTCTTGTGTCTCTGTGGCTTTGCCTTGGAGGTAACCTGGTAATCAGGTGCAGAGGCCAAGGTGACTCAGGGCTGCTCAGAGACAGACACTGTACATCTAAGGGCTCCAGGAGCCATCCAGGCGAGGTGATGTTTGGGATTTATGGTCCTAAGGGACCTGATACCTGCTTTCAGTCTTCAAGTCCTGCTGTTACCCTGTCCTAGCCGTGGCTGGTGAGCTTGGGGTGTCTGCAAAGAGACTGACCCTTGCTAAGCAGTATCGAAATTGACAAGACCCCAGGGAGGACCTGACCTCTTTCCCTGCTGCTGTGGAGAGGTGGTGGGAAGGCCCTGATGGTGAAGGTCAAGCCACTGCTGATCACTTGCTGGCCATGTGGCATCAAGGAGCCACGATTTATAAGGATACATATTTTGTTTTTCGAGACAGGGTTTCTCTGCGTAGTTTTGGTGCCTGTCCTGGAACTCACTCTGTAGACCAGGCTGGCCTCGAACTCACAGACATCCACCTGGCTCTACCTCCCAAGGGCTGGGATTAAAGGCGTGCGCCACCACCACATGGCATGTATCTATATATTTTTATTCAGCAGGAGAGAGGCCTCTTCAGTCTCATAAGAACACCTGGAGCCCTGGTGGCTATGGACTTCCATAATCCAGGATTTTACTCTCTGTAGCCTATAGAAAACTGGCTGTGTCCGCCACTAGGGGTCAGGAAAACAGGCCTCAGGGAGAAGGCACTGGTCGGGTGAACTCAGTGCCACACTGTCCTCAAAATTGTCTGATATAGAAAAATCTGAGCCAGTGGTGGTGGCCCACACCTTTAATTTCAGCACTGGGCAGGCAGAGGCAGGCAGATCTCTGTGAGTTTGAGGCCAGCCTGGTCTACATAGTGAGTTCCATGATAGCCAGGGCTCCACGGTGAAACTTTGCCTCAAATATCAATTAATTAATTTTGGCTTTGAGATAAGAACAGGAAAGACAACCAATTCATCACCTCAAGGAAAAAGTAGTAGTTGTCCTGTGGAAAGCTTTTCTAGTAAGGAGAAGATGCCCAATGTTGCCGTCACCCCGTGTCTGAGGCCATTTCCCCCACCTTCATTCCGTCAGTGTTTATTGTGGTTCTACTGTGTGGAGCCATGCACCTCCTGGGGGTTTGGTCCTATCCTTTCCTGTTTGTTTGTTTGTTTGTTTTTTATTGTGGTCAAATGTGCAAACAAGGGTTGGAGAGATGACTCAGTGGTTAAGAACACTGGCTACTCTTCCAGAGGTCCTGAGTTCAATTCCCAGCACCCACGTGGTGGCTCACTACCATCGATAATGGGGTCTGATGCTCTCTTCTGGCATGTAGGTATACATGCAGAGCACTCGTGTATAAGATAAACAAATTTTTTTAAATGTGCAAACAAAAATCTATCACTTGAGCTATTTCTACATGGCTTAGTGATG